CATATTGTTTTTAAGGAAAACACATATTTTTAGAAAAAATCATGGATTTTTCGAATAAAAAAAGAAGAAAATTTTATCTTACGGGATTCAAATTTATACATTTTTACGTATTTTTCGTGTAGATTACAACAAAAATATAGCGAGAACGATTGGAGTTGATTATCATAGCGTTTTCAAGAAAAAACTGATAATTTTCGTTATATGAGACACTTTAACCCCCTTCAATTTTAGGTTTAACCCGTTGCCTGTCGCTAACGCATATATGCGTAAAACTAAAACTGTCCAAAAGTGTTCTTTACGCATATATGCGCAACTTAAAAAAAGTGATGAAAAACATCTCAAATATTTCTGAAACTGGTTACTCGGGGGTTTTTGGGGTCGCTGATTCCGAATCTGAGGTCGGTTTTTCAAAATTCAAAATGGCGGATCCAATATGGCGGACGACAATTTGAAAATATGATACAGTTCGCTTGAAAATGGTTACTCAGGGGTTTTCGGAGTCGCTGATTACGAATCTGATATCCGTTTTTTAAAATTCAAGATGGCGGATCCATTATGGCGGAAAATTTTTCAAAATTGATCGGATTCGACTGAAGCTCGTTACTCAGGGGTTTTCGGGGTCGGTGATTCCGAATATGACATCAGATTTTCAAAATTCAAAATGTCGGATCCAATATGGCGGACGACTATCTGAAAATCTAATGCAATTCGCTCGAAACTCGTTACTCGGGGGTTTTCGGGGTCGCTGATTACGAATGAGACATCAGTGAATTTTAAAAAACTAACATCGAATTAGTAATCAGCGACCCCGAAAACCCCCGAATACCCATTTTTAAGAGAATTACATTATATTTTCAAATTGTCGTCCGCCATATTGGATGCGCCATTTTGAATTTTAAAAAACTAACATGGGATTCGTAATCAGCGACCCCAAAAACCCCCGAGTACCCATTTTCAAGCGAATTGCATTATATTTTCAAATTGTCGTCCGCCATATTGGATCCGCCATTTTGAATTTTGAAAAACCGACCTTAGGTTCGTAATCAGCGACCCTGAAAACCTTAAGATACCAAGTTTCATAAAAATTCATTAAAATTTTTTTCAACACACTTTTGGCCCAAATAGTGGAAATCTCGTCGACAGTCAAGGGGTTAAGGGTACGGAACCCTCGGTTTTAATGCGAGTGTAACTCGCACTTGTCCGATTTGTTTACTTTATTTTTTATGTAAGATAAATTTACTTTTAATGAATTATGATATTTCTTAATGTTCAGTTTTCATCATTTTTATAAGCCACAATTTTTTTAAACATACACTAATGTAATTATGAATACGTGTTTAATTGAAATATCAGTATACAGAATTTTCTCTGTAGGTAAGAAAATTTTTCGTTTGAACTTCCTCTCTCTGTTCTTGTATATATGTTACGGCAAAGGTACAAATGCCGGTAAATGTGCACATTCACCGGGCTATTTGGTAAAAGTGAAAAATGTTTTACAGAATGATAATTGTATGTACATTTACCAAGGAAATTGGCGAATATACACATTGTCCATCCTCGTTTGGTAAGTGAAGATATTATATATATAATTGTGTTTATTTAAGTGAAGAACAATATATAAAAATAATTGAAGAAGTGAGTGATGCGAAAACCAAGTCAAAAAACAAAACGAGTACTGATTACAGTCGTTTGCAACGATTTGACATTTATACCTGTTGGTAAAAAAAGAAAATTAATTTTACCTCTATCTAAGAAAAATAAAACTATAAAATATTTTGTAAAAAATGATGAAATTTTTCATATAATTCATGAGGCACATTTAATTGTTGGACATGGGGGTAGAAATAAACTTTAAAAAGAAGTAAATAATAAGTATAGCAACATTACTATAGAGATGATTATGCTTTATTTAAGTCTTTGCGAAGCATGTCACAAGAAATCCAAGAGTAGAAAGAAAGGTTTAGTCGTGAAACCCATACTATCTGCAGAATTGAATTCAAGATGCCAGGTGGATTTGATAGATCTCCAAACACAGGCAGACAGAATCATTACGCGAAGTTGTAAATACACAATCCTTGAAAAGGACAAGGATTTAAAAGGTGTTTCTGTAAAGAAAAATGTGATACTAGAAGGTGCAGCTGCAAAGCTGAAAATATTTTATACAACTCAAAATGTCATAGTTCTGCCTCCTGTAAAAATAAATAGTCATGAGTAACACATAGTAACGCATAGTTGTCATTAAATTTTTACTTTGATCAATACGATAGGGTAAATGTATACCGATTTTTTCCATCTTAGGTTCAAATAACTCAGAAAATAATGTGGAATTAACATCTGAAGAGAGCCGAGATGGGCCAGTACTTTTGGGTTAAAGTTAGTCTAAGCCCATCGTGAACAGCTTTACTTTTAAATAAGTATACCAAAAATCAGAAAGTTTTATTAATTAGATTAATAAAAAAACAACTTTTTGTAAATTACTGCAAAAAATGTTTATAACAATAACTTGAATAAATATAAAAATTTCGCACCTCTAAGAAAACTAGTTTCATGTCGAAAAAAAACATGGATTTTTTTAAAAATAATTTTCGTCGGAAAGACACAATGCATAATAAGAAAATTTAATATGATTAAAAAATGAATTCAGAAATCTCTTCCCTCGGTAGTGATTGCGGCATCCTTAGCTTTTCTTTAAAAATTTGTAGTCCGCCATGTTGGATATGCAATTTTAAATTTCGAAAATCTGACGTCATATTCGTAATGAGCAACCCCAAAACACCTCCGTGTAACAAGTTTCAAGAAAACTTCCATTTTTAAATAAATTCTCGCCATATTGGATACGAAATTTTGAGTTTAAAAGAAAAAATTAAAAACTAACGTCATATTCGTAATCAGCGCCCCCGAAAAGCCCCGAGTAGTAATTTTCGTGAGCGTAGCTCAACTTTTAAAGTGTTGACTTATGTTTTTATGACTGCAAAGTTTAAACTCGTTTTTCTCGAAACTAGATTTTTCAAAATGGGCGGAAGGATTACTCCTACAATTTTTAACGGATTTACTTGAAATTACTTAGGGAAGTACGTAGATAATTCGTTTGAATTTTTTTTCTAGGTACTCATGGAAAGTAGAAAACCTTCCGCCCGTTGAGGCTGTTTTAAAAAACGTGGTTTTAGTAAAAGTGATGTAAAGGCGCCATTTTGAAATTATTTTTTTTCGTTTTAGTGTAGTTTAATACATGTGTTTTACGTTAAAAATACCCAACATCATTTTACCGTACCGTTTTCTTAAAATAAATTATTGAAATAAACTCTATTTTTTACGTGCTCTAGGTAATGTTACCCCTTAATTGTTTAACAATTTTTTAACATAAATAGAGACCTGCCGGAAATAACTTTTTCTTACATTCAGCGAAAAAAAGTCTGCAGGGGAGTTTACAGACAGAGAACTTCCAGTGAGATACTTGTTTATTACTGTATAAGGAAGTTTTTTAAAATTTAAAACCGATTCATTGAAAACTTTGAAAAATGTTAAAGTATTAAGAAAGCGCGTGCGCCACGCTAGAGCGTCACCCAACTCTGTGCATGCAATATGCCCAACTTTCCACAGGTGTAATATTTAATTTAATTAAATTACTAATTAATGTTACTTGATAATTAATTAATTATTATTAAATATTAAATTAATACACATGAGTATCTTACTTAAAATTTATTTATACAAAAAATTACCCAGTTAATAATTTTATATAATATATAAAACTTTTAAATAAATTTTTAAAAATTCGTACTTCTCTTTACTGAGAAAACGTACGTACGTTCTATGTTTAGGTCTTACATACTGCTTGTCGTATCAAGAAATTAGAACAACAAACGCCTCGGTGCGCCTGAAATGGTTTTAAATGAACATTGCTTGCACTCTAAAATTTCTTGTCGATTTTGATTCTTTGAGGTTCCCGGAGTATTTTTAAACAAAGAAGAAAATAATCGGCGGAGCCCTTTTCGAGAAAAATAAATTTTTTCATTAGTAACATAACCCCACAAAAATAAAAGTAATATGTGCGGATGACCCGAATACCCTACCCCTATGTATTTTGGTGCGCCGAACACGAATCTGAGGTCATATTTGCTTCATCACGTCAGGATTTTTTTAACCTCAAAAAATATGTCTGATTTCATGTAACATACAAATTTTTTAAAAATTGGTTAGATTCACTTAAAACTCGTTCATCGGGGGTTTTAAGGATCGCTGATTACGAATATGAAGTCAAAATTTAAAAATTCATCAGCCATATTGGATCAACCATTTTGAATTTTTTAAATTTGACTTCAAATTCTTAACCAGCAACCCCAAAAACCCCAGAGAAACGAGTTTTAAGTGAATTGTACCTCAAAGATTCAAAATCGACAAGAAATTTTAGAGTGAAATCAATTTTCATTTAAATCCATTTCAGGCGCACCGTGATGCATGAAATAAAAACTCACGTGCGAAGACACATGAGAACTCATAAAAGAAAGAATAAATGACTACACAGGGTTAACACCCATGTAATACGTTATATTGCTTCCTCATGGAGGACGCACTGTAATACCAGAATTTTACGAACTCCATTTTTGATGTATCTTTATGTTTTCCGAGCTTAGGAATCCAAATATCACATTTTTAAAAAATGCCGTTCCGCACGCGCGTGTGTGTATATGTATATATTATAACATTTAAAATTGTTGAGAAAAATTATGCTTTTATACTTTAGCAGAAAGTTCCAATTTCTGAGTAAAAAAGTAAAAGTACAAAAGGGAAAAGTAGATGCTAAAATTATACATAAAAAGTGGCATTGTTCGATAAACCATCCCAATTATCAAAAATTGAAGGTTGAACTTTTTTCTTTAAAACAAGACCAAAGCTAGATTGATCACATTCTAAAAGAAAATAACAACTTTAACATTACTGACAAAAATGTTTTAAAAAATGAATCATTTTTTTTGAAGTTACATAATTAACAAACATACTTGAACGAAATTTAGCTGGTTCTGCAGGTACAGTTGCCGGTACTGCAGGCAGTTCATCCGTATTTTCAATACCAAGCAATTCCTTATCAAGTTGTTCTTGTTCCAATTCTTCTAATTCTTTTTCTAACTCATCTTCATCTATATCTTGACCGAATGCAACAGGATTTGAGATTGCGTCTGAAATTTCTCGAGCAACATCCTGTTGTTCTGCAATGTCATCCATCATATCATGAACTTTGTCAACATCCCTAAAAGAAAATTTTTTAAATAATGTGAAATATTATACACTACAAAAATTGTTTTCCAAATTTTTTTTCTAAAGAATATTACATGTGTTGATGTGCAGCTTTTAGAGCATCTGCAGCACTTTTCATTGTCGTAAGAACTGCAGTATTAGTGTTAGCACTCTCTAATGCTTCTCTCTGCATCTCGATTGTGGACAATGTTCCATCTATTTGTTGTAATTGTTTTTCATAGCGTTTTTTTCTTTTCAACGCTTGAATAGCCGCTAAAAAAATAAAATACATTATAAGAAAAGTTTTACGTAATGAAATATAAATTAAAAATTTTGTAATAAAAATATTCTACTTAAAACATTTTTTAAGGTATTACAAAAACAGAAATTTCCCTTTCGTGTTCTGAATTATTTTAAATATCTGGTCCTTACGTGTAAGTTTGAAATTCGAAAAAATGAAAGTTATATGCATATACATAAGTAAATGTAAGCAGAACATTTATTATTTATTTTCTTTATCTACAACAATTACTAAGTACAATTACTACGTACTCGAATGAATTCGAGCATATTAAAAGTTCAATTTTTATTGTCTTGCAAAAATTACTAAATTAATCAACAGATAAATGAATGACTACATATTTAAATTACAAACTCATGAAAAATAGTAAATAGCTTACAAACAATCGAATATTCAATTTAATTTACACAAGTACTCGACTATTTTCGAGTACTCGATTATTTCAAGTACTCGAATTCACTCGAGTGATCGAAGTTACTCGAGTACTCGAAAATCTTCGAGCTTTTTATACAGCTCAGCTTGACTCGAACTCGACTCGAGCTCGAATTAATAAAACTTGACTCGGCTAGACTCGAAAAACGAAAAGCTCGAAAAATCTCGATCGAGCTTCGAGCTTTTTGTAGTATAATATAAATGTCATATATATAACGCCTTGCCGCTGAAATTTTCCCATTGCATTTTCCCAATCTAAGGTCCACAATTCTTATCAAAAACAAAATTTTTTCTTCGATCGTATATTATTACCTTCTATATGAATTAAAAGATTTCGATAGAAAGAGAAAATTAAAAATTTCAGATGACTTTAAAAAAAAAAATTTACTTTTTCTTAAACCAAAATGTTAAACTCGACTTTAAAAAAAAATCTTATTCATACAGAAGGCACTAATGTACGATTGAAAAAAACTTTTTTTTTTTGTTTGTTTTTGTTAAGAATTGTGGACACCAGATTGGACGTAATGAGAAAATTTCAGCAGCGAGTATATTGAGGCCATCCATAAATAACGTTGCACTATTTTTCACCATTTTCGACTCTCCCCACCCCCATGTTGCACATTTTGCATACATTAGCGCCATTTTTTCTATTGAATGTTGCAAATTCTTGAACCCCCCACCCCTTCAAGCGCAACGTAATTTATGGATGGCCCCTATGACGTTTATTTTATCATTAAATTCTATTTTTTTTCAATAAAAAAATTATATTTCGAAGGTTTAAATATATAAGAAAACATCCACAAAAACTGGTATTAATTTATTTCAATGCGTTTGAGAAAAAAATTACTGAAATTTATACATTTTTTGACTTTCTATAAAGTAGGGCCCTTAAGATGCAACAGTTTTAAGGCAGCTTTGCTGAATTTACGCAATGCAATTTCCTTTACAACTACTAGCGCTGATTTTGAGACTCATCTTAAAATAAGATTTTCTTTCTGCTTATAAAAAATTATCATTATTAGTTAATTATTAAAAAAAACTGTCCATTACGTATTAAGTATTTTGTATATATTCACAATTTGATTGATCTTTCATCGAAAAGTATCCGTGTATATAATATTTGCTAGATTGCAAAACTGGAACATAATTAGGCAAAGTATTTATGAAATCGAATATAAAAATGTAAGAAACTTATTTTTTATTATTTAAAATTCATTTTTAATACAAATTAATTCTATTCAAACTTCATTTTTACGGTAATTTTTAAGTTAAAAACTGACGATTTTCTATAAATATTATTATTTAACTGTAGTAACTAAATTACATATTTTATAAAAAAAAAAATTATGTACATTACTATAAAAATTAAAAAAAATTGTGTAATGTAATTTTTCATAATTTTTTAATAGAAATTTCTACATTTATCTGCATGAAATGTACATAGGTACCCGGGTACCTTGTCCGCCTTTTAAGGGTGAAGAAACTTTGTTTATTATTTCCGAATAAATAAATAAAAAAGGTACATTATAAATAATATTAAAACATTTTATATGGATAAATTTGAGATGTCAAAAAACCTTAGGTCGGTACGATTTAAAAAATTACGAAAAAAACCAATTTGAAAATGCAAAAGGTATCCGGGTACCTCGTCAGTCCCATGAAGGTTAAATAATTTTTATATTTTTAATAACAATTTTATATAAACAAAATATTTTTTTGTTATTTTTACCAAGTCTCTTTACACGTCTTTTCTTTATTTTTTAATTATTTCTCTCATATTTATATTTAATGTAAATAAAATTGTTATTAAAAATATAAAAATTATTTAATTATTTATTGATTTTGTTAAATATTATAAAAATACATTATCTTTAAAAGAAACTTAAAGCAAACCCAAATCTGAAACATGTAAAAGCAGCGGTACTATGTATTTGTTAATTAAGGGTTGATTAAACAATGCTATGTGTAAAAATTAATTAAAGTATTAGACGTTTACCTTAACTAATAATATTGCACATTTCTCTCAATATGTCATTAATTTCGTAATGAAGAACTAAAATCATTAAAATTGTTTATAAAAATTGTTTAAACAATTAAAATTTTTTTAAAAAAAAAACAAAATCAAAGGCGTTATGCAGAATTATATCATCTTTAAAATAAGACCAAGAACGTCAAAATCGGTTGAAATTTGTAGGCTCTATGTTAATTTGTCTACGGCCCACTGTGTAGCTTAGCGCACGTGGAGCTTGCACGCAATTTTTAAAAATTCATTTAAACTTATTTAACTCATCAGGCCTTTTACGGCTCTTTTTGCAAAATCGTCTGTACATTTTCAACCAAATTTAATATTTTTAGAAATATAAGCCATTAAAAAAAGGTCTACTTTCGCAAAGTCAAAATTTTAAAAATTCATAACTGAAAAATTTGGCCGATTTTTCAAAAATAAAAAATACGTATTTCATGTTTTTCTACATAGAATAAGAAAAAAATATATTTACCTGAATTTTAATACTCGACTACAAATATCTCGTGGAGTCGCCCATATAAATATATATATATATATATATGGCTCATTTCATTTAAATTGTCATATTCGTGTCCCTTGCCAAAAAAAATTATTTGATATAACCTTACTTGAAATTAATTTGTTTATATAGTAAAAAGCAATAATTTTCAATAATTTTTCTACTTACAAGGACATAAAAGTGATTTTCATAATATTGGCAGAACAAAAAGCAGGCAAAATGTCATAAGTGTAATGTGTCCCCGGAGACATTTTCAATGTTCAAATGAATGAAATGTCGAAAATATAGTGTTTAAACCAGATTAAAAAAATATTTCGTGAAGTATTAGTTTCATATTCAAGGAAAATCAAGGGTTGGTAATTAAACTTTATTTTATACAATGTCTAGAAAATGAAAATGACGTGTCCCTCACTTTTTTATTTTTATGTTTTGCCGGCAGAATTTCCTACTTTTGCCTTAAAATTGCCTAGCATGTCAGGATTTTGAAAAAAGCGGGAGTAAAACCCCCCAAAAAAACGTGTTTTTATGGGTGTTTTTTATGATTTTTCTCATTAAACTGAGGAGGTAAAAACTTTAAAAAAGTCTTAAATTAAAGCTTAAATTGTGCACTACATGACCCGTACACGCAACCCTCCCACCTAATTTTTTCAATAAAATGGGGTTATACCCCCCTCCAAAAAAATTTTTTTAACATTTTTTTGGCGAAGTGAAAAGATGTTTACAGTAGAATCTCTATTATTCGAGATTCCGTATTATCCAAGGCACCGATCACGAGGTGCATGCTCGGATAATACGATAAAACTCGGATAAAACGGATAGAACCGATATGCATTAACAATAATTATACCCAAAAGTTAATCTACGTTCATTAGATTTCAACATTTCTATACATGTGTGATTAATTTTCTTTGTACCACATTAAATACATAAAAAAATGACTAAAATTTTTGAATTTTCGGTATTTACTCCGTGTTATCCGAGTTTTCGCTTATCCGAGGTACCTCTTCCTCACATTACCTCGGATGATCGAGATTCTACTGTATTTGTTTTGTTTATAATGTTTAAGGACATAAATTTTGCATTTTGCCTATATAATTTTTAACCCCTTCGCAGTCTAGTTAAAAATCACTTATAGGCCTAATAAGGTTTTTAAACAGAGCTTCCAAAAGAATTTGATTTCATCGTATTTAAGATTTTTGGGTTCATCTGTCATCAAATTTGAATTCAGCGACTCCGAAAACCCCCGAGAAACAAATTTCGACCGAATAGCATCAGTCTTGAAATTATCCGCCATATTGGGTCGCCATATTGTTCCACAATTTTAAATTTTGAAAATCTGACGTCATATTCATAATTAGAGAACCAAAAAACCCCTAAGTAACGAGTTTCCAGCGAATCGAATCAACTTTTAAATTTTTATGGTCTCCATTTTGGGTTCGCCATTTTAAATATTTTAAATCTAACTTTAAATTCGGATTCAGCGACCCCAAAAACCTTAGTATACTTATAACCAGTCAAAAATTATAAAAATTATATCACTAAATTATATTTAGTATTATTATTATTTTATCAAAAATTGTCCGAAAATTTTTATTATAAGATATGACGATTTCTGCCAAAAAAAACGGTCTGCCATAAAAATATACATATGACTTTACCCCCACAGCACCGAAAATTTCCTGAAAATTTCCTAAAGATTTATTTGCAAACTTCGGAAACTTTAATTGCAAAGTTTAGAGAAAATTGTATAAAGATTCAAATGTCCAAAATGAATAAATGTTTGGTGTAAAACTTGACGGAAGATTTAAATTAAATTTTCCAGAAATTTTCGACGCGAAAATTGAGTGAAGATTTAAATTAAAGTTTCGTGAAATGTTTGGCGTAAAAGTTGACTAAAAATTTAAATTAATTATTTATTAAAAATTTATACCGAAAGTTGAGTGAAAACATAATTCTGTTTGACAGAAATAAATGTTAACTGACAAAAGAAAAAAGGGGCACTACCACATCTAAGC